AGGATCACAGTGGATAAAACTGATTCTTCACAAATATTTGAATTCATTATTATTATTGAGAATTTCAGAGGGAATTTTCCGAAGATTCTTGATGTCGTTACTAAAATATTTCAAATTATTAAAATCGTGCGGAAAACTTCTGTTCCAGAGGAAATCTTTCACAAATTTTTGTTGTTTCAACAGATTGTGGGAAAATTAGCTTCCTAAAATATTTTAAATTCTTAGAAGTAATGATAATTTCCGAAAAAATCGAAAACTAAAAACTAATTTTCCAAACTTATGTCAAATTGTTAAAACTGGAGATAATCTCACGAAAAACAGTCAGTTCTACAGGAAATTTACTACCGAACTGATGTTTTTAAATATTTCTTCTTCCAAATATTTGTTTTGAACATGAAGCGCAAAAAGAGAAATGTATTTTAAAGGATTTACATATTTTTAACGTTTTTCTTAGCGAATCATTTGCTAGTTATATGTTTTTTGTTCTTTGTTCTTTGGAAAATTAAACCTATCTTTTCAGTTTCAACAATATTACCATTTTTCATAAAAATTGTTTTGAATATATTTTTAGAACAAGCAAAAATTGTTTTAATAGTTATTAATCTGTTATTTAGGCAGAAGTTGCCTCTTGAAGTACAGTACAACATGTAGAGTTTTTTCTAAAAAAATTAAATAAATGAGCGATTAAACTGAAGTGAAAATTTAAAACCTAAATCTATTTTGGAACAGTTTTGCAAGTATAATGTATAGACTATAAACAAGTTTTTCAAAAATGTGTGAAATATATTTCCAACGAATTAGGAAAAAGCTCTGTTTTCTCTAACATTCATGAAAATCTAAATTTCTGTCGATTTTTGTGGAAAAATCTAAAAAAATCCAGACGCGTTGGAAAATAATAATCTGTAGAAAATTATTCTATAGGAAAATTCTGAAGATCTAGAACCTCTTTGCATCTTCAAATAAACTCACTATGATTAAAACAGATTCTGTTGAGAACTTTCCAGAAAAATAATTTTTTTATCAGCGATTTTCTGATGGTCTAAAATTTGGTATTTTTTCCAAAATATTTTCAATTATTAAAGTTGAAGATAATGGCCCGGAAAAATTTCTGTCCTTCACAGATTTAGCTGTTGTTTAAAGATCTTAAAATAAACAAGAACTGTGAGAACTATTGTTTCCAAAAACTCAAGGTGGATTCATAAACGACAACTAGAAGAGTATGTTATTTTATAAAATTAAAACAGTATTTACTGTGCAGATTTTTGAGATGCCATCATCAAATTGTTGAAGGGGATGATTAGACAAATTTTGGTTCGCGGTTTACCATCCTCTGATATTTCTAACATACATATATATAAAATTTAATAATAATCTGTCCGGTAGTTTCAAAGATTATCTCTCTAATAAAAATCGACATAGACGATAGCCAGATGGACGGAAACGGAAGACCTATTTTTTATTATTCATGAACTGTTGAGAAACATGATAATAGCCGTTCGCCGGATGAATAATCGTATAATATGTGATATAATGGGGGTTCTAGGCCAGCTTGATCCCATTTGACCTATAACTTCCATCACTTTCTGTCGATCATTGAGGTCCTTGCCGAAAATGAGCACTGTAGTAGATATATGATGGGGGTTCTGGTTCAAATTTTGGCGGGAAAATTTGAATTCCCCGTATATCGGGCAAGTTCGACTAGGATCGCTTCACTTCGGTGAAGGTCGATCATGCCCAAACGAAGTGAGCCGCCGAATCCGACCATGGCCGAAGTGAGTCGATCGTAACCAAAATTTGAGCAGAATTCTGACCATAAAACTGCTACAAGGGTAGACACAAAGTGATAGGGATTCTAAGCCAGGTCGAATGAGGTCAAACTGGCCTAGAACCCCCATCATATAACTGCTCGGATGGCCCCTCTATTACAATATTTACTTAGTTTGTGCTTGGTAAGTAAAAACGAATTTTTCGAAAATATTTCAAATTGATAAAATTGGAGAAAACCTGATGAAAAAATAAACTTGACGACTTTTTAGCGCTTTGTTTATTAACCAGTAGCTTGATAGCTATATATTTATATAAAGTGTGATGCTGCAAAATTTGATTTTTTATGATAGTCGCTATAAGTACGTCTAAAATTTTTGATAATAATGCGTCTGGTAGTTTCAGAGGGTCATGTCGATAAAACATGTAGTAGTAGTCGAATGAGTAATGCTATAATATATGATATGATGGCGGTTCTAGGCCAGTTTGACCTCATTTGACCTGGTCTAGAACCGCCATCACTTTCTGTCGACCGTTTTTTAGCGAGAAAATTTCAATTCGAGCGCATGCTGAACAAATTTGACTATAAATCAAAATACTACAATGACTTTGGGTGGTATTTAGGCATATTTTTGAATGTTTCAAAGGACGATTCTGGAAAAATCATTGGAGTTATCGTAGAGATGAAAGCGGATATGACTTTTGCGGCCCGAAATCTACAAGAAAATTTATTTAGTGAAATTTCAAAAATTTTGTTGAAAATTGGTCGAAAATTGGGGTATTTTGCATATTTTTGAATGTTTCAAAGGACGATTCTGGAAAAACCATTGGAGTTATCGTAGAAATGAAAGCGGATATGACTCCTGCGGCCCGAAATCTACAAGAAAATGTATTTAGTGAAATTTCAAAAAATTTTGTTGAAAATTGGTCCAAAATTGGGCATAGTTTGCATATTTTTTAATGTTTCAAAATACCATTCTGGAAAAACCATTAGAGTTATCGAAGAAATGAAAGTGGATATGACTTCAGCGGCCCGAAATTTACAAGAAAATGTATTTTGTGAAATTTCGAAAATTTTGTTGAAAATTGTTCGAAAATTGGGCGTATTTAGCATATTTTTATGTATTTCAAAGGACGATTCTGGAAGAACCATTGGAGTTATCGAAGAAATGAAAGCGGATATGATTTCTGGGGCCCGAAATCTACAAGAAAGTGTATTTAGTGAAATTTCGAAAATTTTGTTGAAAATTGGTCGAAAATTGGGCGCATTTTGCATATTTTTTAATGTTTTAAAAGACGATTCTGGAAAAACCATTGGAGTTATCGAAGAAATTTACAAGAAAATGTGTTTAGTGAAATTTAGAAAATTTTGTTGAAAATTAGTCGAAAATTGGAGTATTTTGCATTTTTTTGAATGTTTCAACGGACGATTCTGGAAAAACTATTGGACTTATCGAAGAAATGAAAGCGGATATGACTTCTGCGACCCGAAATCTACAAGAAAATGTATTTAGTGAAATTTCGAAAATTTTGTTGAAAATTAGTCGAAAATTGGGCGGATTTTGCATATTTTTATATACTCCAAAGGACGATTCTGGAAGAACCATTGAAGTTATCGAAGAAATGAAAGCGGATATGACTTCTGCGGCCCGCAATCTACATGAAAATGTACTTTGTGAAATTTCGAAAATTTTGTTGAAAATTTAGGTGGGTGGGTGGAGCTTAATTTTCGTTTTTTTTTTTAATATATAGAGTTTTCTTTCAATAACAGGATAGGTAAACATGTTTTCAGTTTCTTGTTGGGAAAACAAGACTTCGTATATTAAGAAAAAAAGGAAAAAAAATAAGCCCCGCCCACCCACCCCTTCTTAATTGTGATGAATGTTTTATTCATCGTGAGCCGAAGGGTGGAGTTTAGTTACCAATCCTCATTTCTCTTCAAGAAATTTCCATATGAAATTCGTCACAATTGAGACTTGGGCGGGTGGGTGGTGCTTAATTTTTGTTGTTTTTTTCTTAATATATAGAGTTTTCTTTCAACAACACTATAGTTAAACGTGATTTCAGTTTCTTGTCGTAAAAAGAAGATTTGATATATTAAGAAAAAATGGACAAAATATTTGCCCCGACCACCCACCCCTTCTCAAATGTAATGAATATTTTTTTCATAGTGAGCTGAAGGGCGGAGTTTGGATACAAAATTCTCGTTTCTCTGCAAGAAATGTCCATATGAAATTCGTCACAATTGAGACTGGGTGGGTGGGTGGGCTTATTTTTTTTTTGTTTTTTTAATACCTATATTGAGTTTTCTTTCAACGACAGGATAGCTAAACATATTTTCAGTTTCTTGTTGGAGAAAGAATATTTCCTATATTAAGAAAAATTGGACGAAGTATTAGCCCCGCCCACCCACCCCTTCTCAATTGTGATGAATATTTTATTCATCGTGTGCCGAAGGGCGGAGTTTACTTGTAAATCCTCATTTCTCCACAAGAAATTATCATATGAAATTCACCACATTTGAGATTGGGGCGGGTGGGCGGGGCTTAATCTTTTTTTTGTTTAATATATAGAGTTTTCTTTCAACAACACGATAGTTAAACATGTTTTCAGTTTCTCGTTGGGAAAAGAAGACTTCGTATATTAAGAAAAAATGGAGAAAATCTTAGCCCCTTCTCAATTGTGACGAATGTTTTATTCATCGTGAGCTGAAGGGCGGAATTTAGTTGCCTATCCTCATTTCTTTACAAGAAATTGCCATATGAAATTAACCACAATTGAGATTGGGGCGGGTGGGTGGGGCTTAATTTTTGTTCGATTTTTTTTAATATATAGAGGTTTCTTTCAACAACACGATAGTTAAACATGTTTTGAGTTTCTTGTCGTAAAAAGATTTGGCATATTAAGAAAAAAATGGACAAAATGTATGGATCTTCAGACTAATCAGAGCCGAGATTTCTATAAATGTTGGACGTCATGTGACGTCGATACTATTGCTGTGACTGCGCAGCTGGGAGTATGAATCTGAGATTATTGGTTGATTGAAACACTATAGACATATCAAAAGCAAAATTTTTGTTTCAGTATATATATACTAGTAGTTTACTGCAGTATTCTAGCGAAATTTTTGCAAAAATGGGACTAGTTGTAACAAAGGTATGAAGATTTTGGCAATTAGCTTGACAATTCGGAGTGTTAATGTTTTTTGGAAGGATGAATTAGTGTTGGGCACTCACCTCGTAGTCAAACGTCAGTCTCGATGCTCATGGCGTTGATGTTGTTGTTGTGGCGCGGATTGCAGTTCTGCTTCCGGACCAGCTGGTCGCGCGTCACCAGCAGGCCCTCCTCCAGCTCGACGAGATCGCTGGAGGATTCGCTTAGCGAGCTCTTCTTCATGTGTTGGCCTAGGGTGCCTGGCAGGTACGGGCAGCTGGTCACGTGGTTGAAGTTCTGCGACTGCATCTCTTCCTGATCCGTCTCACGATGATAAAAGTAATTGAAATTCGACACTATGACGGGCACGGGCAGCGCAATGGTCAACACGCCAGCGATTGCACACAACGACCCCACGATCTTGCCCCACACGCCGACCGGCCTGCGAACAGACACTGCTTAGAACTCTCTTCCCGACTGCGTTTCTTCGTCTTTCTTTTCTTCTTCTCTTTCGTCTTTCGAGTTACGAGAAGACATGCAAAAACCGCAAAGAAGCAACACAAACACGAGCGGGAGGAGGAGGCGGCGGGGTGGAGAAGCCATGCGGGGCGCGGTGACTTGATTCTTTTAGAAAATTCTTTGTTCCTTTGCTGGGTCGAGGAGTGTAATGAGTGCCCTGGAAGTTGTTTGCACGAGAAACACGAGCGTGCTGCGCTGCTGGCAGAGTTGGGGTTCTAAGGTACTCATTAAACCCGTTGGAGGCGAAGGCAGACTTTTTTGGAATCTGGACGTACACTTACCAAGAAGCAAAATACTTACAGATGAATTAAAAAAAAATACATCGGTTTCTTTCCTTTCCATTTTTTTGATATTTTTTAAAATATATCGTAAGAATTTAGGTTTCACAGAAAATTATAGAATCAAAGTTTTTAGTAAAAGCGCTTTTAAAAGACAATAAACAGTTTATATGGAATCCAGATTTTTGAAAATAAATCCAAAGTCTGTATGGCCAAATTTTGCATCTAAAAGTACTACAAGGAGAGTCCCACTTAAAAAATAATAGTATGATTTCATATTCGGCGAAACCAGAACAGTTACGTCAATTTTATGTTGTTCTAAAGCCAAATTTGTTTCTTTAGAGGAAAAAACACCTTGTCGGTTTTAGTTATTTTGAATTCCCAATTCTCCAAGAACGTAGAGAAAATAAACTTATTTTGGAATTTTCAGTTGTTTTAAATGAAAAAAAGTCGAGCTTATTATTATGACATTATAAAAATATGTCTGATCTCATGAGACGTCAAAAAATATAAACGGAGCCATCGATGTATTAACACTTCGGTGTCTTACTAACTAATGTACTGAGACACCCGGTATATTTTGAGTTCAAGTTTTTGTGGAAAATTTTGAAAAGAAAACGTAGAAGTTGTTTCAGATTAAAGGTTCATAGTTGGAGAATCTTTCAGAACAATTTTAAAATTACTATCACCTCTAATTTATTTTTTTGAATGTTGGATGACCTTCTAAATTTTATAAAATATTTTTAAAACCAATGTACAATTTAATTTTAATCATTTTACTTTAGTTAGAATTATGACATTATGAGACAAGAAAATCGTACCAGTTTTGAAAAAAAACAGAAGGAAATTCACATTTTTAACATTTTACATACAGTGTGTCCCATTTTGTTTGTTCACATTTAAAGACGAATAGCAATTTTTGCTAAAAAATTTCAATTTCGACTTTTTTTGAAAAACTTTGCAGGACGACGATAAGAAAACACAAAATTATTAAAAGCGTTCGTTAGTTAGCCAAATATGGAAACGTCTTAATGAAAAATCTGACACAATGTTTACAGGGTGATTAAAAATGACGGATAACCTGAATGGTACGTTGTTAAGAAGGCTCTGAAGAACTCGAAAAATGTGTAAAAAAATCCCTGTACTAAATTTTTGAAAATATTAAACTTCAAAGCTAAAGAAATAATATCGTAATTCAGATATAATGTTTCAGTAGACAGTTTTAAATTCCTACAAATTATTAATAATTATTAAACTAGTTATTTTTTCCGAATTCTTCAGAGAACAACGTATCATCGATTTTATCCGTCATTGATCACCCTGTATAATATTAATATATAACATAATCGTATGTCAAAGAGCTACTTAACGAAAATGTTTCAAATTTCTTTGTCTTTTAACTACGTTTTTAAAATAAAAAAAGTTAAAAATCGAGTTAAAAATTTTTTTTTTCAATTGAAAAAAAAGAATGCAAATTCGGCCCACACCCGTTTTTACGGGGTTATGTCCAGAAAAAATCAAAGTTTCTTTTAGCAAAAAAAAAAAATAAAAAATCAAAAATGTCGGACTTCGAAAGACTGACGGAGTTGAAAAATCTCATAGAACCGGGCATCAAAAATTTGTTTTTAATTTTTTTTTGAAAAATACATTTAAAGACAAAAATTTTGAAAACAAAAAACGTCCTGATAGCTCAATTTTTGGAAAAGTTACAATTTTTTGAAAAAAAAGAGCCATTTTTTTTTATAATTCATATTTTTTTTTTGGGTGGGTAAAAAAATTTGAAAAAATTCTCAAAAACGTCTTTGGTGAGGTAGAAAAAAATATAAAAGTCGAAAGGGGTAGGGTTCAAAAGTGGTCGATTTGGCATGGAATTACCCATATTCATTCACTCATTTTTTAGAGCTCCTTTACACAGAATATTTTTTTTAATGTCTCGAAAATGTAAAAATAATTTTTTGTCAACATCAGGTATATGTTTTTTAAAATTATCTCAACTAATTCAACAGTATACACGGTGTCCCAACAGTTTGGCAGCGGAAACTTAGACATTCCTTGTGAATTACTAAAATTATTAATCGTGTGATAGATGTCATTTAGGGCTACAATTCAAATTTCTTGTAATATACAGGGTGGGTCAAATAAGTGCGCGCCCTTTGATATTTTATTTTATTAATTCTTGGAAATAGAAATAAAGTTTCAGATTAAAATTATTTTCAACTATACAGAGTGTTCCGATTTTAAGGCGTAACACACAATCTAGTTTTTCGATTGACCCCTGCTTAATCTTAGTTTATTTTTGATATGCTCATGTGCCATTGCCAATTTTCAGAAAAAACATATTTGCTTTATGGTGGTACAAATAAAAGTAGTATACAGAGTGTTTAAAATTTACATTTTATCATTTTTCAAATATCGACATTTCAGTTTCTCAAACAAAACAACCTGTATTTTATTATTGCATCTTATTCTGTTCTTTGTTTTCGTTCCTTTTTACTTTTTTAACTTTTTTAACCGACACACTGAAAGCAAGAGAACAAAAAGTGGAGTAATAAAAAACATTTGAAAAAAAAATCAATATTTGAAAATTGTAAAGTTATTTTTTATAAACACTCAATATATTTAAATTTTATCTAATGGATACCATAGCAAAGCGCGTACATTCAAGATGAATCTTAAAAATAACGTTATTGTATTTTTATGGACCCTTGCTTTACAAAAAAAAAAAAAAAATAAAAAAATAGGAAAAACGTGGCAACGTTGCAACGGAATCTCAAAAATTAACTATGGCTATAAAGTATAGGATCAGGCTAATAAAAATATGAAAAAATGTATAGAGTATTCCATTAAAAAAAAACAAAGCACTCTGTATAGTTGAAATTAATTTTTACGCATGGAAAGAACTGTATAATTTTAGTCTTTATATTTTTATATATTTGGATTTTTTTTTCTTAAAATACAAGAGTTTTGTATCTGTTGAATATATTTTCATTTTTATGTAAAAAGATGATTATTAAAAATTCATAATTCCGCCATATTTGAAAATGGAGGTCTGGATTTTTCTACACTTTTTAATTACTTTGAGTTAAGAAGAAAATACAAAATTGAGGCGGGTTTGGTTAATTCGTACAAGGTGATTAAATCTGTGAGTACCCAGTTTTCTCATACCATTAAAATGGGACATCCCGTATTTTATACAATTTTAGAATTTATATTCATTTGTTGAGGTTTTCTATAATGGTTTTTTTACTAATTATTAAAATAATGGTAACCAAAAGAAAGTTTATTTAGAGATAAGTCCCAAAATTTTATAAAATACAGGGTGTTTCATTTCAAAAACATGACAAAACTGATAGTTTGAAAATTTAATCACTCTGTATAAATAAATTGAAACCTTGTTCAATTTTTATACGTCTGTTAAGACAGGGTAACAACAAATTTTATACATAGTTCTGAACCTCCATTTTAAAAATGGTGGAGCTAGGAATTTTTAAATATGATCGTTTTTTTTTCACAAAAATGCAAATATCTTGAAAACTGTTGAGCAAAAATCGCTGTAATTGATACCGTTTTCCATTTTTCTCATAAATAATCTAAATCTGTAAAAATATATAGAATGTTTCTTTTTAAAATGATACAACTTTGGTCTGTACAGTATTCCAGTGGAAACGTTGTATATTTGAAAATACTGGTAAATTGTAACCTTAAAAGCAAATAATTTTTTCAACTGTCCAGTATTAAATGTGTAGTCTTCCGTAGACAGTTCTTTGGAGCATCCTGTACTTTTTTATTTTGAAACCTGACCGGAATTGACCTGAACTGACACAACATGACCTGACCTGACCTGACCTGACGTGACCTGCTGAAACACGTTCACGGTTGTCTAAAATTATCCTTCTTGGAACCAAGTGGTACCAAATTCGTGAACCAATTAGGAAAATGGTCCCAAAATTACGGAACCATCGAAACCATTGGTTCAGTACTTAAGCCCCGATTTGCTTTAAAAAATAATACTGAAATACTTAAGTAAAAAAAAACTGCGAAATTTTCTGAAATTTCCCCCAGATTCCACAAAGTCTCCCCTTGCCAAAAACAAGCAACATCGAGCACACATCGAGCGTCACGACATCAAGGGTCTGCTGGGGTTGTCGGTGTTGGACGCGTCCTCGGAGCAAAGAATTTTCTCGTGGTCTCGAGATTCTCATTGTGTACACGGTGTTTAGCTACGGTGGAGGCAACTAAATCTGAATTAGGTGTGTACATCATACGTCATGTCGCCGTAGCCCACAGTCGTCATGGTGACCACTGCCCACCAGAACGCGTCTGGGATGGACTTGAAGAAGGAATTCTCGGAGCCCGCCTCGGCGAAGTAGACGGCACTCGAGAAGAGCACGACACCTGCAAGGAGGAGGAGGGGTGAGTCGGGCTCGGTGCGATACTGTACCTCATGTCGCCGTAGCCGACGGTGGTCATCGTGACCACGGCCCACCAGAAGGCGCCGGGGATGGACTTGAAGAAGGACTGCTCGTCCCCGGCCTCGAAGAAATACACGAGGCTCGAGAAGAGGACCACGCCTGGAACACACAGAAAGAGAGGCCAGAGAGGGCCGTGTCATGGCGTCCGTTCGGGCGGTGCGGTTCGGGGGCGGCACGATAGCACACACATACACACACATCGAGAACGGCGGCTGGTCGAGTGGGCAAGCGGACGGGGAGTGTTGCCAGAAGGGTGGTAACTTTGAGTATTGCCAGTATTATTATTATTAGTGAAGGGATGGCGGGACCAAAACTGGCACACCAATACTCAACCTCAAATTCGTGATTATCCAAATTTTTGGAAAAAAATCAAAATTATTTTACATTTTATAATTTAACTGTGAAACTCAAAATTAATAATGTCTTAAAATTACGTAAGTAAAAAATTTTAGTAGTTGTTGAGGTTAAGCCGTGGTACGCCAATTCAGGACACCTGTATATACATGAGGTGTAGGTGTGCGACAATCGCTTGGCTACTGGTAGGCCCGTATTGGTCTGGAAACCTTATTGACAATCAGTTCAAAATATTTAATGGCAAGAAGTCAAATTATTATTCACCAAAAAATATGTGTCAACTATATAAAATTTTAATTTCAAAGTTTTTAGAAACAACGCAACCGATTAATTACGTTTTCATTGCTATTTTCGAAATTTAACATTCTTTATTTCTATTACTTACTGTTTCTCTAATTATTGCTCGTTGGCAACTTTACAAAAATCTAACAGTTCTTTATTTCTGTTTTGTCTGGTGCTGATGCAATAACAATGTATTACACAAAAATACCGGATGACTATTAATGATTGAGGTAAATTTTTGTGTTGGCAGTTCTGAATTGTTGGCAGCAATGGTAGTATGTCAGTTCACAGTTGTCAATCTTGACATGATGACTTGTAACAAACGTGTTGAGAACGTGGCAGCTACTGACTTGGTGTCATAAATGTCAATTTGACAATCAGGATGCCATTTTATATGTTGGCAATCTGACAAAAAATCATTAATGGTCCCTCGGTATAAAACTAACCAACACACTTGTGTAGTAAATTTAGATGGTAACAGTTGGTATTATAAAATATCCAAATAATGCACAGCTCACTACGATGATCTCTGACTATATGAATATATCTTCTGCACGACTAAAACGGCCGCCGATTCATTAGTACCAATTAAGTAATATTTGTCCGCACTCAAATTTAAGTTGGCAGTAATGAATCTGTTAAATTAAGCACAACATTCGATTGGTGGATTCGTGGTACCAAACTTAAAATGTGGCAAAATCGGTTTCAATTATTCATTGTTGCCAACCTAAATTTGGGCCATCTTGGTCGTGCAGAAATAAATAAGTTTCCAGACCTCTACGTCCACGATTTCCAAACATGACAACAATTAACACTGAAGTTTAGGTAGGTACCATATGACCGAAAAAAAAAAATTCTTTAGTAGGCCGTGCAACTTATTTTTAAAATAATGATATTGGCAACACCAACATTTTCCTTATTTAGTTTGACAGTTACATCTTTATTTTAAAAATATATTTCAAGGCCATCTATAGGATTTTTTTCATTGTATGGTATTTTAAAATGTTGAAAACTGGCCCCATAAATTTTATTTTTTGCAGTTTCAAATATTGTATACGAATTTCCATAAGGTATTTTAGATTCCGCTTGTTTAAAAATGACATTAGGTTAAGTTTAAGTAATTTTTTTAGCATATGTCATTTTTAAATCAATGATGCCAACTGCAAATCACAAAGAAAGTGAATTTATGGTATAGTGCGGTTTAAACCTTGCAACCCATTTGGTAATTTAAATGTGTTACTGTTGGTAGCACTATGCTACTATTGACTTTATTTTTCATTCTGTATTATCCTTAATTCATTAAGAAATTGAAAATAAATGACACTGATGACAGCTTACAATGACACTAGTAACTATAATGTCAATGACCGTACAAATAACACCAGAAACCATATTTACACAGTACAATGAACAAATATAGAAAATCTGCGGTCTTATTTTTCATACAATAGTGACGTTTACACTAGGGAAATTTTGAAGGTCGGTTGGAATTGGACACGTGCAACCCCAGCCGACTATATTATTCTGGTAGGAGTGTTGCTAATGTGCCATTTTACAAAGGACAACTGTCAAATTTGAAAAAATATTGCATTTTTATGTGAAAATTAAATAATAAAAAAAAATTGTGTTGTAAAAAAATTGAGAGCAATAAAAATACAAAATTTTGGAAAATTTGGAAAAACGTAGCGTAAAATTTTCAATAGAAGTTTTATTTTTTGCTCAAAGAGTGTGATAAATAGTTAAAAATAGTCAAAAAAAAGATTAAAAGGGTCCAAAGTCAATTTCAAAGTATCCAAAATACATCCAGTAATTCATTCAATACATTACCATAAATCCAGTTTAAAAATCCCCTGATTCCATCTAGTGTAACATTTACTTTGAAATAATAATAATTTCTAAATAAGCTTAGTAATTTTTGAAAACACACTTGTATTTAGAAATATACTAGGGGTATTAATAGCTTTTGTTAAAGATTGATGTTTGTTGTTGTTTCTAATAATTATAAAATTTCATAACCTATATTCTGAAAAAAAAAAAACACAGAAAATTTGACACCGACCTGAGTATATTTTATATCTAGAGTATATTTCATAATAATTAACATCTCAGTGTGCGTTGGAAATTCAAAACATAAAATGACAACCGTGACTGTCAACTTGTCAAAAATTAAATAATACAAAAAATTGTGTTGTAAAAAATTTGAGAACAATAAAAATACAAAATTTTGGAAAATTTGGAAAAACGTAGCGTAAAATTTTCAATAGAAGTTTTATTTTTTGCTCCAAGAGAGTGATAAATAGTTAAAAATAGTAAAAAAAAAAAATTAAAAGGGTCCAAAGTCAATTTCAAAGTATCCAAAATATATCCAGTAATTCATTCAATACATTACCATAAATCCAGTTTAAAAATCCCCTGATTCCATCTAGAGTGTAACATTTACTTTGAGAAATAATAATAATTTCAAAATTAGCTTAGTAATTTTTGAAAACACATCTTGTATTTAGAAATATACTAGGGGCATTAATAAGTTTTGTTAAAGATTAATGTTTGTTGTTGTTTCTGATAATTATAAAATTTCATAACCTATATTCTGAAAAAAAAAAACAGAAAATTTGACACCGACCTGAGCATTTTTTATATCTAGAGTATAATTCATAATAATTAACATCTCAGTGTGCGTTGGAAATTCAAAACATAAAATGACAACCGTAACTGTCAACTTGTCAAAAATATAGAATTTCTCAATTCAAATTTCAATTTATTCATAACCTCAAAGTGGGGATTGACAGTTTTATACCTAAAATGGCTGAAGATTGTTTTATATTGCTAAGGGCAGCTTATGTTTTACTTGAAAAAAGTTGTTTTTGAGAAAATTTAACTGTTCACGGAAATCATCAATATACAGGGTGTCTCTTTTATTTAATACAGCCCCTGTAACTTTTTTATTCTTAAAGATAAACCTGTAATTCTTTGAGCAAATTTGTATCATTTGGAAGGATCTATGTGATAGCAACCTCATATTTTTATTATCACTTCCAGTAGAACCGGAAATGACGTCAGTTTTATTTTTTTTTATGGAACACTAGGTGTATATCAAAAGCAGCCAATATTCTAAAATAATACTTAAAAAGTTATTCAATAAAATAGATTGATTGATTATTGATCTAGTAGCTTGAAAAATTGACAAACATGTCATTTAGTGATCTTTTAAAATGATACAAATTTGTTGAAAGACCTCTATGTCTATGTTGATCTTTAAAAATCTTTTTTTTTTCAAAAATTCACCACCAGTGGCGTTCGATTGTGCCAAACAAACTCCCGTATCACACGGGAATTTTTTTTTTCTAACCACCATTTTGTTTATAGTTATTATTAACAAAAAGCAATGTTGCCACGTTTATTTTTGATAAAAATTGTGACGTTTTAAAGGACAAAATCAACGCAGACATTTTTGAAATTGTACATAAAACAAAAGATGTGAAGACGTAGGGCGTAGTTTAATTAGTTTAACCTCAATTTGTGGCAGAGACATTGACATTTATTTCAACAATTAATACAAATTAGGGTGATATTTATTCTTTTGTTTTTAGTTACTTTCACGGTTTTACTGAAGTATATAATTAATTATTATTATTAAGAAAAAAAAGGCAAAATGTAGCCCCGCCCACCCGCCCCATCTCAATTGTGATGATTTTATTCGTCGTGAGTTAAGGGGGCGGAGCTAAACTGCAAAATGCTTATTTCTCTACGAGAAATTAAAAACAAAGATTGGACCCCACTAATACCCACGCCAATCTGAATTCTTAATTGTAATGAATTTTTGGTTCGTTGTCAGCTCGAACGACGGGGCTTAATTGAAAGATCCATATTTGTCTACAAGAATTTACCATTTTAAACATTTTAAACGTGTTTTAAGTTTCTAAGAATAAAAAATTCATCACAATTGAGACGGGGTGGGTGGGCGGGGTATATATTTTGCCTCCATTTTCTTAATATACATAGTATTCTTTGAACAACACGATACTCAAAAACATGTTTTAATTTCTTGTAAAGAAATAAGTATTTTGCAGTTAAGCTCCATCCTCTTGGTTTCCGCCGAATAAAAAAAAATCATTACAGTTGAGGTGGACACGTGGGCCGGCTTACATTTTGCATTTTTGATTTAATATGTGTAGACTTCTTTTCATACCAAGAAACTTAAAACATGTTGAAAATGGAAAATTTGTATAAGGAAATATCGATTTTGCAATTAGACTCCGCCCCATAGTTGCAAAATCCATATTTCTTTGCAAAAACCATTTTATGGATGTTTTAAGTTTTTTATAGATGGCTCTGTATATTAAGAAAAAAAACCGCCAAATATAAGTTGCCCTAGCGTGGGCAACTCGATCGTTTAAAAAAAAATGACAAGCGTATTATTTTGTAAATAAATGTCAAAACTCTTGTCGCAAAATGTATAACATAACCTTACAAGAAAAACTGGGGGAATTTTGACTAGTTGCTTAATCAAGATGGCGCTACGTTCAGAGATGAAACAATATGTATATGTTTTAAGTATGCACAATAAGTTAAACATAGAACTTGATCATTTCCCAAGTAGAGTATAAGATCTTCTGAACTCGTGTATCCTCAAGCAAAATTAGTATAACTATTCTTCAAATCACAGATACACGAGAATTTCTAGGGATTCAATAAAATTTTTATTCTTACCGACGATATAATGGCACCTGCTACCCACCAATTCGAAGTTAAATCCAGGAAACATTTGCTTCAGGTGAATTCATTAGTGACTGCCTGTATTTTGTGACGCACCTTTATCTCTTAAATCTCTTGAACTTGCATATGTTTTTCCTAAGTGATTTTTATCAATTTGAGTAAATCATGTCTTTTATAATGGATTCAAACCGTGTTCTTCGTCTTATTTAACGATCTGTTGTCTAATTTCTTCGGTTATGACAAGGTTTAGAAATTTTGAATTTCAAGATAACGAAGAGATCAATTTTTGTTGTGATAAATTGAAGCGATTGTCGCACACGGTTCGGACCTCTCGATCGTGTATTTGCTTGATTATGGTAGTTAGTGAGTGAAGTGGACATAAAGTTACCGTGGTTTCTACAGTCACAATCGCTAGCGGTTCTGAAACAAGTCTAAGAGGACAACATCTAGAAGGTATCGTGTCGGTTGTTAAAAAACAAAGAAAGTAGTATAGAGTAGCTGAAAGAGAGAGTGGCAAGACGGTGATTAGGAGAAGTAGTAGGTCGTACCCACCTATGAATAGGAAGAAGATGAGCAAGCCTAATTCGCGCATACTGGCTTTAAGCGTGCGCCCTAGGATCTGCAGGCCCTTACTATGCCGGCTAAGTTTGAAGATGCGGAAGACTCGCACGAGCCGAATGACACGAAGAATGGCCAGCGACATGGCCTGGTTGGTGCTTTTGTCTTGCGGGTTAGCAGGCGCACGTGGCAGGTTCAACGTGTCCTCCTCCTCTGCCACAACGGTGGCTAAAGTGATAAAGTACGGAATGATGGCGATGATATCGATAAAGTTCATGACGTCCCGGAAGAAATGCAGCTTGTTGGGACACGCCAGGAAGCGCACGGACAGTTCGAACGTGAACCAGATGATGCAAATGGTCTCTATGAGGAAGAACGGGTCCGTGATGTCCGGCACCTCGTCCTCCTCTATCTTGGTGCCGTTGGTTGTCGTGTTGAACACCTTGTAGTGCTTGAACTCGGGCAGCGTTTCCAGGCAGAAGATAACGATAGACAGCAGGATAACGAACACGGAGATGATGGCGACGACGCGCGCCGCCTGCGACGACTCGGGGTACTCGAACAGCAGCCAGACGTTGCGCTGGAACTCGTGCGACGGCAGCGGCTTCTCCTCCTCCTTGATGAAGCCCTCGTCCTCGCGGAACTTGTTGATCGCCAGCTCGCCCAGCTCGTAGAACTTGATCTCCTCGGAGAAGACGTCCAGCGGCACGTTGACGGGGCGGCGCAGGCGACCGCCGCTCTGGTAGTAGTACAGGATGGCGTCGAAGGAGGGCCGGTTTCTGTCGAAGAAGTACTCATTGCGAAGCGGGTCGAAGTAGCGGATGCGGCGTGCCGGATCTCCTAGCAGCGTGTCAGGAAACTGATTTAGCGTTCTAAGTTGCGTCTCGAACCGGAGGCCGCTGACCTGTTGCAGAAAACAATACAAGACATCAGACTAAATCGCACACAAATTCATCTTACTACGCTATAGTACACTCAATCCGACAGGATTTTTTTCTCTAGATAACAGTGGAATGACCACACTCCCAGTTTTACCCTAACGATTGACCTCCCTACTAAACCTAAATGCACGGTTGTCAATTTTTTAAGGTCGGATCGACAAAAGTAAACTCTGGATGAAGCAAATAAGTTCTTTTGGATGGTAAAATAAAACAGTTTGGTGAGCAGTGAAAAATAACTTAGGGTTTTCGAAATTTTCATTAGCGTAGTAGATATTTCTCGCTTTCCAAGAAAGTCTAAGAGGCAGCAGAAATCTTTTGATAATTAAAAATGGTTTTTTAGAAAAATCACGCCAATATTCTCCTGCGTGACCAGATCATCAGTCATTTTCAACTAAAAGTAGCAGTAAAAGCCATGAATGGGTAAATGTGGGTGTTATTTTTTTATTTTAGAGCAATATTTGCCGACGTAATATTATTCAAAGAATTATTACCTTCTATCCTTGGTCTACAGGCATTAGTTGTACTAGATTATATTGAAAAATGGCAAACTTTAAAGACAGTCAGGGATAGAATGCGAATTTTTCAGATGACTCTTGTAGATAGAACGGCTATGCTTCAAGTATATGAAAAGAAACGGAAAAATTATTAGAGGGGTATGGAAGGAACACATATAAGCAGGGGCGGATTGGACCTGCTGAACTAGCGCGGGAAAAATTTGGACGGGCGCCCGAAAGGTCGAAATTTTACTTCATTTAAAAGTATATATAATTGGACTCTGGTATTGGCGCTTCTGGAAAATTCTAGATGGCCGTTTTCGTCTCTGATCGCGATGTCTTGTGTTTCAAGTAATTTGAAAGAATCTCAGGGACCCCTTGTGTCTGGTTTTTGAAGTAGGTTGAAAAAATCTTGAGGATACTCTATGTGTCTGATTTTGAAGTAATTTTTGAAAGAATTTCGGGGGCAGCTGTTGTTTTGTTTTTGAAGTAGTTTATATGAATTTCTGAGACCTTACAATGTTGTTCTTGAAGAAATTTGAAAGAATTTCAGAGCCACTTGTGTCTTGTTTTTGAAGTAGTTTGAAAGAATCTCTGGTACCATTTGTGTCTGGTTTGTGAAATAGTTTGAAAGAATCTCGAGGACCTCCCGCGCCTGATTTTTGAAGTAATTTGAAAGAATCTTGGGGATCCTTTTTTCTTTGTTTTTGAAATAGTTTGAAAGAATCTGGGGACCACTTGTGTCTTGTTTTTGAAGTAATTTGAAAGAATCTCCAGGATTTTTCTGTGTATTGTTTCTGAAGCAATTTGAAAGAATTTCAGGAATAGTTGTGTCTTGTTTTTGAAGTAGTTCGAACGAATCTCAGGGACCCCTTTTTTTTGTTTTTGAAGTGTTTTGAAAAAATTTCGGCGACCTCTTGTATATTGTTTTTGAAGTAATTTGAAAGAATCTCGGGGATCTTGCAGTATTGTTCTTGAAGCAATTTGAAAGAATTTCAGAATCACTTGTGTCTGGTTTTTGAAGTAGTTTGAACAAGTCTTGGGGATATTTTGTGTCTGGGTTTTGAAGTAATTTTTGAAAGCATTTCGGGGGCTACTTTTGTTTTGCTCTTGAAGTACTTTGAAATAATCTCGAGACCTCTTATGTCTGGGTTTTGAAATATTTTGAAAGAATCCCGCGGACCCCTTTTGTTTTTGAAGTAGTTTGAAAGAATCTCAGGGACCCTTCGTGCCTGATTTTTGAACTAATTTGAAAGAATCTCGGGGACCATTTGTGTCTTGTTTTTGAAGTAATTTGAAAGAATCTCGGGGATTTTTCTGTGTATTCTTCTTAAAGTAATTTGTAAGAATTTCAGGACTACTTGTGTCTTGTTTTTGAAGTAGTTTGAAAGAATCTCAGGGACCTCTTGTGTCTAGTTTTTGAAGAGTTTGAACAAATCTTGGGGATACTTTGTGTCTGGGTTTTGGAGTAATTTTTGAAAGAATTTCGGGGGCCACTTTTGTTTTTGAATTAGTTTGAAAAAATCTCAGGGACCACTCGTGACTGATTTTTGAAGTAATTTGAAAGAATATTGGGAATCTCTTGTGCCTGTTTTCGAAGTAGTTTCAAAGAATCTCGAGAAACTCCGCTTTTTTTGTAATTGAAGTAGTTTGAGAGAATCTTGGGGACTCCTTGTGTTTGTTTTTGAAGTCATTTGAAAGATTCTCGGGGACAATTTGTGTCTTGTTTTTGAAGTAATTTGAAAGAATCTCGGGGATTTTTCTGTGTATTCTTCTTAAACTAATTTGTAAGAATTTCAGGACTACTTGTGTCTTGTTTTTGAAGTAGTTTGAAAGAATCTCAGGGACCTCTTCTATCTGGTTTTTGAAGTAGTTTGAACAAATCTTCGGGATACTTCGTGTCTGAGTTTTGAAGTAATTTTTGAAAGAATTTCGGGGGCCACTTTTGTTTTTGAATTAGTTTGAAAGAATCTCTGGCCCCTTACAGTGTTGTTCTTGAAGCAATTTGAAAGAATTTCAGAACCACTTGTATCTTGTTTTTGAAGTAGTTTGGAAGAGTTTCCGGGACCACTTCTGGTTTGTGAAGTAATTTTAAAGAATATTGGGGATCTCTTGTGCCCGATTTTCAAGTAGTTGAGTTGTAAAGAATTTCGAGAATTCTGTTTGTTTTCTTTTTGAAGTAGTTTGAAAGAATCTCGAGACCTCTTGTGTTTGGGTTTTGAAATATTTTGAAACAATCCCGCGGACCCCTTTTATTTTGGTTTTAAAGTACATTGTTGGAAAGAATCTTGGGGACCTCTTCTGCCTGGTTTTTGAAGTAGTTTGAATGAATCTGGGGTCTCCTTGTGTTGTTTTTAAAGTAGTTTGAAATAATCTCGGGGACCGCTTTTGCTTTGTTTTTGAGGTAGTTTAAAAGAATCTCAGGACCACTTGTGTATTGTTTTTGAAGTAGGTTGAAAGAATTTCCGGGACGTCTTCTGTCTGTTTTGTGAAGTAGTTTGAAAGAATCTCGGGGACCCCTCATGCCTGATTTTTGAAGTAATTTTAAAGAATAGTGGGGATCTCTTGTGCCTGTTTTTGAAGTAGTTTCAAAGAATGTCGAGAAACTTCCTTTGTTTTGTATTTGAAGTAGTTTGAGAGAATCTCGGGGACTCCTTGTGTTCGTTTTTGAAGTAATTTGAAAGAGTCTCGGAAACCCATTTTGTTTTGGTTTTGAAGTACATAGGTGGAAAGAATCTGAGGACCTCTTGTATTTAGTTTTTGAAGTAGTTTGAAGGAATCTCGGAGACCACTCGTGCCTAATTTTTGAAGTAATTTGAAAGAATATTAGGAATCTCTTGTGCCTGTTTTTGAAGTAGGTTTCAAAGAATCTCGAGAAACTCCGTTTTGTTTTGTATTTGAAATAGTTTGAGACAATCTCGGGGACTCGTTGTGTTTGTTTTTGAAGTAATTTGAAAGAATCTCGGAAACCCCTTTTGTTTTGGTTTTGAAGTACATAGTTGGAAAGAATCTTGAGGACCTCTTGGGCCTGGTTTTTGATGTAGTTTGAAAAAATCTCCGGGACCTCTTTTGTCTGGTTTGTGAAGTAGTTTGAAAAAATCTCCAGGAGCACTCGTGCCTGATTTTTGAAATAATTTGAAAAAATATTATAGATCTCTTGTGCCTGTTTTTGAAGTAGATTTCAAAGAATCTTGAGAAACTCCGTTTTGTTTTGTATTTGAAGTAGTCTGAGAGATTCTCGAGGACTCCTTGTGTTTGTTTTTGAAGTAATTTGAAAGAGTCTCGGAAACCCATTTTGTTTTGGTTTTGAAGTACATAGGTGGAAAGAATCTGAGGACCTCTTGTGTCTGGTTTTTGAAGTAGTTTGAAAAAATCTCCGGGACCTCTTTTGTCTGGTTTGTGAAGTAGTTTGAAAGAATCTCGGGGAGCACTCGTGCGTGATTTTTGAAGTAATTTGAAAGAATATTAGGGATCTCTTGTGCCTGTTTTTGAAGTAGGTTTCAGAGAATCTCGAGAAACTCCGTTTTGTTTTTTATTTGAAGTAGTTTGAGACAACCTCGGGACTTCTTGTGTTTGTTTTTGAAGTAATTTGAAAGAATCTCGGTAACCCTTTTTGTTTTGGATTTGAAGAACATAGTTGGAAAGAATCTTGAGGACCTCGTGGGCCTGGTTTTTGAAGTTGTTTCAAAGAATCTCGAGAAACTCCGTTTGTTTTGTATTTTAAGTAGTTTGAGACAATCTCGGGGACTCGTTGTGTTTGTTTTGGAAGTAATTTGAAAGAATCTCGGAAACCCCTTTTGTTTTGGTTTTGAAGTACATAGTTGGAAAGAATCTTGAGGACCTCTTGGGCCTGGTTTTTGAAGTAGTTTGAAAAAATCTCCGGGACCTCTTTTGTCTGGTTTGTGAAGTAGTTTGAAAGAATCTCGAGGACCACTCGTGCCTAATTTTTGAAGTAATTTGAAAGAATATTGGGGAAATCTTGTGCCTGATTTTAAAGTAGATTGAAAGGATCTCGGAGTCCACTTTTGTTTTGGTTTTGAAGTGGTTGGAAAGGATCTTGAGGACCGCTTGTGGCTGGTTTTTGAGGTAGGTTGAAAGAATCTTGGGGACCTCTTGTATCTGGGTTTTGAAGAAGTTTGAAAGAACCTCGAGGACCTCTGGAGTCTCGTTTTTGAAGTAATTTGAAATAATTTCGGGATATTCCTGTGTATTTTTCTTGAACCAATTTGAAACAATCTCAGAATCATTTGCGCCTCGTTTTTGACTTGAAGCAATTTGAAACAATCTCAGGATCATTTGAGCCTTGTTTTTGAAGTAGTTTGAAAGAATCTTGGGGATCCCGTGTGTCCGGTTTTTGGAGTAGTTTGAAAGAAACTTGCTAACCCCTTTGGTTTGTTTTTGAAGTAGTTTGAAAGAATTTCGCAGATGCCGTGTCTTGTTTTTGAAGTCATTTTATAGAATTTCGGAGTCCCGTGATCAGGGGTGCTTGGAACCTCCTGAACCAGCGCGGAAAAAACTTAGACCGGCGCATGAAAAGCCGAAATTGTATTTTGTTTAAAAGGATATAAAATTTGGATTCGGTCACCGGCTACCAGTGCCTCAGGAAAATTCCCGATTTCTAGATGGTCCCATCTGCCCCTGTATGTAAGGTAGTACCTAATAAAAAATGGTATTCAAGTAGAGTACAATAAATGATTACAGAAGATAGACGCGGGAAAAACGGACTCAGGAAAATTATGGATGTCGAGTTGCGCTGGAAAGAAAATGATACAAATACATACAGAATACAGAATGAGAGAAAAAAGTAAAGAGGGAGCGAGAAGTAGAGACAGCGGAAGAGAGAGAATAGAAAGTAGGAGTGAAAAAGAAGAGATTAAGTAGTTTAGCAATGCGGGAAAAATGGGACTTAGGAGTACAAAAATTATTTTATTATTTATGTTCACGACTATTTGAGGAATCGAAGGAAGTTATCGTCGATCTTGGTTAGATGTTGACAGTTTGGATATATAAATTGTTATTTGAAAGGGTTTAATTCTTGTTGACATAACATAACCTAGTTTTCTATTAAGGTTATATTGTGAAATAAAAAAAATAACTAGGTGACAATTTTAATCCAAGAAAAAAAATCGATGAAAAATTTCAAACTTTCACCCTGTATAAAGATAACCCAAATTTATACCAAGACAACATTTACTGATGACTCGCGTCTAAACATCTTATTCATAAATGTCACCAAGACACCAAACAATAAATTTTTTTTAAGGAAATAAAATTTAAATAACACTCTTAAAAGTACGAAAAAACAAAAACGAATGGAATACCAAGACCTGGTAAATCCACACGACAGCGTAAAGTAGCACGTGAATTTTATGGAACCTAGCAACTATTGCATTGTGTGTGGTGAACATTCAGCACAAAAATCAAGGCTATGCGTTTGAGATAAAGCAGACACGCCACTAAATTAAACCGGCAGATAGGGATAATAGATAAAATTAAACGTATAGGTGGACAAATAAAAATAACCGAGACAAATAGGAGCCAGAACAAAAGTAAATTAGTCTGCTTTGTCAAAATCCACCGCTAGCGGCAGCTGTTCCATATTTTGTCAGGCCCCTCTACCAAATGCGACAAAAGTGTGCGGCGAAAGCTGAGTTTGACGACAAGTTGAAATTACTGGGCAAAAGCGATAAATGACAAAATAGGTAAAATGCACTACAGAACGATTACGTAGGTCGTGCATTTTGTCATTTTGTCGTGGATGGACTTAATTTGTCGTGCGAGTGTTGATTCTGTCGTGATTGAGTTATTTTCGACTTACGTTTATCACGACTCTCTCACAAAAGTCGTGGTCGTGCGGGATGGGCTCAAAGTGGGCTACGCCAGTGAACTGGGAGTGGGGGGTGTGCCCGTCCTCTTCCTGGCTGCTGAGCTTGGGCAGCGACCTGAAAGGAAAAAATTTTCAAAAAACAAACTCCCGCCACCAACTCCATACTCGCACGAGCATGCAAACCCGTGCAGCACCTCGACAACTCCCAAACTTCCATGTCAACAAAGCGATCAAATAAAAACTATTTATTGAAACATTCGGATCTAAATTGGCTCCGCGCAAGAATGCCGAGGTGGAGGTGTAAAGGTTAGGTGTGAAATAAACAGATAAGTTTTTCGCGTTGCTCAGCTTTTATTACCGTTCTTTTTTGCCGATATGGAACGTATGTAAAGCAAGTTCGCAGCAATTTGTCGTCATTGTCACTCATACCGTAATGGCGATGGAGCCGACTACGAGTGATAACATTTCTTGACGCATATAAATACGGAGGAAGCGACTGATAACACACAGGGTAAAAAGTTCACGTGATAATTGGGAGTTACGTTCTTTTGGCACGAGCGTCGTACTAAAAACATGATTGTTATTGCACCAGCAACAAAAAGTCGCTTCATTTAAATAACGAGAGCGGGTTTGCCGGTAATTGATGGTGCATTCCGAAATGACACGGACTTACATTAGTTTGTACGGCGGTCGTCATTTTTTAATTTGATGACGCTGGCTCGAAAACACGATATCGTTATCCGAGTTTAGCACGATTAGCAGAAAATGAACAAACTATAGATTTGTTTCAATTTTACTAGAGTATAAATCTTTTCGAAATTAAAGTGGTCAGTCAAAAATTGGTAATACGACTGGGGGCGAAATTTTGGAAATTTCAATCAAAATTTGAAACATCTTCCTCATAACTACTTCTACTAGATTCTCTTTTTGTCTATTTTGGAAATTTTTGAAAAAAAAGAAACAGTGCCGAGGCCTTTAGAGCTTTATTTTTAAAATTGTTTGGAAAAATCTCGGAGTTTCTAATGCCTTTTTTAAGAATTTTAAGGAATCCTTGAGGCTTATAAAGGATCTTCGAGGCTCCTAGTGTACGGTTTTTTTTCCTGAACGTATTCAAAAGAGTTTTGGGAGTTTATATTTTAAAGGAATCTTGAGGGGCTCCTGGTTTTTTATTTTTGAAAAAATTGGAAAGATGCTTTTGGTTCCTAGTGTCTTTGAAAGGTCATAGTGTCCCTTTTTCCATACGAACTGAGAAGAATTTTGGGAACCTCTTATATTCTTTTTTTTAAAGAGTCTGGGGGTTCCTGGCGCTTTTATTTTGAAAAAAATTGAACGAATCTTGGGGATTTCTAGTGCCTTTTTTAAGAATTTGGGACAATGTTGGGGATTCCTACTGTTGTTTTTTTTTAAGAATTTAGAATAGTTTCGGGGACCTTTTACGTCGTTTTTTAATTTAAAAGAATCTGGAGGTGCTTGGTGTTGTGAAAACAGTTGAAACAATCATGGGCTTTTTTCAAAAATCTGAAAAAAAAACTTGAGGTCCTTTCGTGATTTTTTTTCTAAACGAATTACCAATAATTTTGGGAGTTTCTAGTATTATTTTTAGAATTTGACGTTTTGTCTTTTTCTTTATTTTAAAAAATCTTAGGAGTTCCTGGGGTTTTGATTTTGAAAAGAAAAATTGAAATAATCTTGAAGTCCTTTATTTTTCAAGAATCTGAAAAAATGTCGAAAGGCCATAGTGTCTTTTTTTCTGAACGAGCTGAAGAGTCCGGGGATTCCTGGTGTTTTTATTTTGAAAAAAATTGAAAGAATCTTGGGGTTTTTTCAAAAATCTGAAAAAAATTTGAGGGTCTTTAGTGCAGTTTTTTTTTCTAAACGAATTGTAAAGAATTTTGGGAGTTTCTGGTATTGTTTTTAGAATTTGAAAGAATTTTGGGGATCTCTGGTGTTTTGATTTAACAAAAAAAAAAAATGAAAGAATCTTGGGGACTTTTATATTTAAGAATCTGAAAATTAATCTTGAAAGTGTTTTTTTCCTTAACGATCTTGAAATAATTTTGTAAGTTTCTATATCTTTTTTTAAGAGTTTAGACGAGTTTTGGAGACGTTTTATGTCTTTCTTTTTAATTTTAAAAAATCTTGGGAGTTCTTGGTGTTTTGATTTTGAAAAAAAAAATTGAAATAATCTTGCAGTTTCTTATTTTTTAAGAATCTGAAAGAATCTTGAAAGGCCATAGTGTCTCTTTTTCTGAACGAACTGAAGAATTTTGGGGACCTCTTATATCCTTTTTTTTAAGAGTCCTGGGATTCCTGGTGTTTTTATTTTGGAAAAAATTGAAAGAATCTTGGGGTTTTTTCAAAATTCTGAAAAAAATTTCAGGGTTTTTAGTGCTGTTTTTTTTCTAAACGAATTGTAAAGAATTTTGGGCGTTTTTAGTATTGTTTTTAAAATTTGAAAGAATTTTGGGGATCTCTGGTGTTTTGATTTAACAAAAAAAAAAAAAATGAAAGAATCTTGGGGACTTTTATATTTAAGAATCTGAAAATTAATCTTGAAGGTGTCTTTTTTTCTTAACGATCTTGAAATAATTTTGCAAGTTTCTAGTATCTTTTTTTAAGAGTTTGGACGAGTTTTGGAGACGTTTTATGTCTTTCTTTTTAATTTTAAAAAGTCTTGGGAGTTCTTGGTGTTTTGATTTTGAAAAAAAAAATTGAAATAATCTTGCAGTTCTTTATTTTTTAAGAATCTGAAAGAATCTTGAAAAGCCATAGAGTCTCTTTTCCTGAACGAACTGAAGAATTTTGGGGACCTCTTATATCCTTTTTTTTAAGAGTCCGGGTATTCCTGGTGTTTTTATTTTGAAAAATATTGAAAGAATCTTGGGGTTTTTTTCAATTGAAGGGAATTTGGGGAGTTTTTGGTGGCTTTTTATATTTAAAAGAATTTTGAGAGATTCTGCTCTTTTATTTTCGAAAAAATGTTCCCAGTGTCTTTTTTAAGAATTTACAACTATCTTGGAGGCTTTTAGTGTTTTGTTCTTGAAAGAATTTGAAAGAATCTTGGGAGCCCTTGGTGTTGTCTTTTGAAAAATATTAAAGAATCCTGGGGGTTCCCAATGTCTTTTCTTAGTTTTTAAGGATCTTGGAGGCTCTTGGTGTTTTATTTTTGAGAAAAAAAATTGACGTTCATAGCGTCCATTTTTAAAGAATTTTGAAAAAATCTTAGAGGACCCACCTGCATTTTTTCAGAATTTAGAATTGTCATGGGGGCTTCTTATGTCTTTTTAAAGAATTTGAAAAAATCTTGGAATTTCCTCCTGTTTATTTACCAATTTGGAAAAATTTTTGGGACCTCTTACGTTGTTTTCTTTTAATTTAATAGAATCTGGAAGCTCGGTGATTTGATTATGAAAAAACTGAAAGAATTTTGGGGTCGTTTTTCAAGAATCTTACAGAATTTTGGGGGCACCTAGTGTTGTTTATTTTTTTCTAAACGAATTGAAAAGAATTTTGGTAGTTTATAGTATAATTTTTTTTATTTAAAAGAATTTTGAGGAGCTCCTGGTCCTTTACTTTTGAAAAAAAAATCTAGTGTCTTTTTTAAGAATTTAAAACTATTTGAGGGCATCTCGAAGGCCCCTAGTGTATTTTTTTAAAGAATTTTCAAAGAATCTTAGAGAACCCTGCTGCTTTTTTTTTAAGGATTTAGGAGTGTCCTGGGGCTTTTAATATCTTTTTTAAGAATTTCAACGAAAATTTTTACCAATTTAGCAGAATTTTTGGGACGTCTTTTGTCTTTCTTTCAAGTTAAAAGAATCTGGATGTGCTTGTTTTGATTTAAAAAAAAAAAAAATAGTTTTCTCTGTTCTTATAGTTTAGAAAAAATGTCTTGTTTGTGAAAGAATTTGAACGAATCTCTAAAGCCCCTAGTGTCTTTTTTCTTTAAGAAATTGAAAGAATCTTAAGGGCTCTACGTGTTGTTCTTTGAAAAATATTATAGGATCTTGGGGGCTCTTGGTGTCTTAGTTTGGAACAAAATTTGAAAGAATCTTGGTGTCCTTAGTGCCTTTTTTAAAAATTAAAGAGAATCTTGCAGGACCTTACTGCCTTTTTTATAAAGAAATTAGAAGTGGAGGCTTCTTATGTTTTTTTTTTTATTTAAAAGAATCTTGAGATTTTTGTCGAGTGGGCGTAGAAACTAATAATAGAATCTTGTATGTGAAAAAAGTAAAAAAAGTGCTAATCGTAACTTCTTTTGTTATACTATTTCCTATAAAATTTATGGTCGAAAATATCATAAGTGCCAAAATCAGTCTTACCATAACAAGTAGTAGACCCGCCCACCCACCCTCTGTTTTCTTGGAAGGTATGTGATTTGCCAAAATCAGTCTTATCTTAGCAAGTACTAGCCCCGCCCACTCCCCTCTTCTCATTCTAACGACTAATTTTATTTTTTCTCAATTTAAGCTCATTCATTTCATTCAGATTGGATGGTCAATCACTGAAATGGAGAGAGGGTGGGTGGGCGGGGCTAATTATGTACTTCTGTCAAGTGGGAGTGGAAACCAATAATAGAATCTTGTATGTGAAAAAAAAGCGTTAATCGTAATTTTTTTTTGGTTTACTATTTGCTATAAAATTTATTTCTTATTATTCATGCACCTAGCCTGTCCTGACTCAAATATTGTCTCAAATAAACAAGTTTTAAACATTTCTGTAAGTATATAAAAACTACAGAGTAGGTACATTCTTGAAACAAAAATTAATAATAATTTCCCTTTTTTATCTTCAAAATTTCTATCGCCAGCTATTTTGAAAAGAATTTTGGAAGTTTCTGTTTTTTTTTTAATTCACTAGAATCTTGAGGAGCTTCTGGTTTTTTATTTTTGAAAAAAATTTAAAAATGCTGACGGTCCTTGGTGTCTTTTTTAAATGTTTTAGAAGAGTCTTGGTGACTATTTGTGTTTTGTTTTTGAAAGAATTTGAAACAATCTCGAAGTCACGTAGTGCCTTTTTTTTGAAAAATTATAAAGGATTTTGGAGACTTGTATACCTTTCGAAAGAATTTGAACAAATTTTGAAGGACTCTACAACCTTTTTTAAAGAATTTATGAT